AACGGATGAAAAGTCACCAAAAGAAACAGATTTTGATACGTTGGTAAGTCTTGTGCTTACAAAATTAGTTAGAGCATTTTTATGGGCAAGTTTAGCGAAACACCAGGCTAGGAGAACTTATATATATGCCATTCCTCTAAGTCAACAACGTTGAATGATCTTATCTCTTTCCATTTGGTATTTGCTAGGTGCATAGCATTATATGGGATTACTATGTTCCTGTCAGTTTAAATACTGATGTACTTGTGTGTTTGCAGATTAGGAAAATATCTCAGGCTGACATTAATACGGAGATAATTTTCAATTGTCAAATGGGACGTGGACGTACAACCACTGGAATGGTGATTGCAACTCTCCTCTATTTCAAACGTACTGGAGCATCAGGTACTTCACCTTCTCGACCACTAAACTTACGAAGAAGATCAGAAGAGAGTCTACAAATGCTGTTTTTATGAATCATTTTTTTTATTTGGTATATTATGTTCAATAAAGATCAAGGATTCCCAAGAAACAACTCTTTTGGGAGAATCTTTAAAGCTGGTGAAAATATTACTATTAATCTACCAAATTCTGAGGAGGCAATCCGTAGAGGGGAATATGCAGTTGTTAGAAGTTTGATACGAGTCTTAGAGGTATTTAGTCCTCTTCTGTTTGTCTTTAGCTGATCATCTTGCTGGTCCTACTGGTTCTAACTATTAACTGGTTTCATGATTCCAGGGTGGTGTAGAAGGCAAAAGGCAAGTTGATAAAGTCATCGACAAATGTTCATCCATGCAGGTATCTTTTGTTAATTTTAATAGCTAAGTATACAATCTGATATATTAGAAACTGTATAGTTTTATCTGATTGGTTTTCACTTAGGGTGAAAGGTCTAAAGTTTATTCATTAATCAACTTACAGAACTTACGAGAGGCAATTGCAACCTATCGCAGTAGTATTTTGCGTCAACCCGATGAAAAGAAGAGAGAGGCAGCACTCTCATTTTTTGTTGAGTATTTGGAAAGATATTACTTCCTTATATGCTTTGCTGTATATCTTCATTCAGAGGGTGCTTTCCTCCAATCTGGTTCGCTTGGCCATGTCAGTTTTACTGATTGGATGCGAGCTAGGCCAGAGCTATATAGCATTCTTCGCAGGTACTGTCAAGCTTTTGTCTACAGCTTTGAACCTGTTATCCTTCTACTTGCTTGTAGATATGGTTGTAACTGATACCTCAGATTTCCACTGGAGCAGTTCAAGAAAACTCATTTGAGAAACTTTTCCTATGTTTAAGTAGCTCTCTGCTGTTGTAAAAGAATTTGAATGCCAAAATTAATCTGCTACTCCTGTTTCAAACTGCCCATGATCTTCAGGTGTCTCATCTAAGTTTATTTTCCTCTTTCAGGTTGCTCAGGAGAGATCCTATGGGTGCCCTTGGATATGCAGCTATGAAGCCTTCTTTGACAAAGATTGCAGAATCTACTGATGGGCGTCCTCATGAGATGAGTGTCGTCGCTGCTCTTAGAAGTGGGGCAGTTCTGGGAAGTCAAACTGTTCTGAAGAGTGATCATAGTCCTGGTTGTCAAATTTCAAGTCTACCAGAGAGGGTGGAAGGAGCACCGAATTTTAGAGAGGTTTCAGGATTTCCTGTATATGGGGTTGCGAATCCAACTATAGATGGTATTCGATCTGTCATTGAAAGGGTTGGGAGTTCAAGAGGTGGCCGGCCTGTTTTTTGGCACAACATGAGAGAAGAGCCTGTTATATATATCAACGGGAAACCGTTTGTTCTACGTGAAGTTGAAAGGCCATATAAGAACATGCTAGAATATACGGTAATAATCTCTGTTTTCTCTATATTTCAACTCCGTATGAATTGGTTGAAAAGCTTACATAAATGCCTTTGTTTAGGGAATTGATCGGGATAGAGTCGAAGGAATGGAGGCTCGTTTGAAAGAGGATATCCTGAGAGAAGCTAAGCGATATGATGGTGCGATAATGGTCATTCACGAAACCAAGGATGGACAGATTTTTGACTTATGGGAACATGTGGATGCTGATTCTGTTCAAACACCCCTCGAGGTCTACAAATGTTTAGAGGCTGATGGTTTTCCGATTAAGTATGCTCGTGTGCCTATAACTGATGGTAAAGCACCCAAAAGCTCAGACTTCGACACATTGACATCGAATATTGCTTCTGCTTCCAAAGACACTGCATTTGTCTTCAATTGCCAGGTTAAATTTTCCAACCATCTTGGATATATTCATATATTAAGTATCCTCTTGAGCTTTTCTGTCCGACTTACAATATTTCCCTTTTCACTTCAACATTCACAGATGGGGAGAGGTCGAACAACCACTGGAACTGTCATTGCCTGTCTAGTAAAGCTCCGGATCAATTATGGGAGACCTATTAAGGTTCTCTATGATGTTCTGACCCATGAAATTGTGGACGAAGATTCCTCAAGCGGTGGTGAAGAAACTGGAAGTAATAACGCTGAAACAAGACCTCGTAGTTCAGGACGAAGAACTGAGGAGGAACATGGCCGTGCATTTGGAATGGACGACATCCTTCTGCTGTGGAAAATCACAAGATTATTCGATAATGGAGTTGAATCGCGTGAGGCTTTAGATGCTGTGATTGATAGATGTTCTGCATTGCAAAATATTCGTGAAGCTGTTCTGCAGTACAGGAAGGTTTTCAACCAACAACATGTTGAGCCAAGAGTAAGAAGTGCTGCTCTGAAACGTGGCGCTGAATACTTGGAGAGATACTTCCGGTTGATTGCCTTTGCAGCATATCTTGGAAGTGAAACTCTTGACGAATTCTTTGTGAAAGGAGAGTCTAAGATGACTTTCAAAAATTGGTTGCATCAAAGACCCGAGGTGCAAGCGATGAAGTGGAGCATAAGGCTAAGGCCTGGACGGTTTTTCACCATTCCAGTGAGTCATCGCCTCATTATTCAGGCTGGAATCCTGTAAATGTTTTATTTATTTTGCACACTACAGCTTTTGTATATTTTCTTGCAGGAGGAATTGCGGGCACAACACGAATCGCAGCACGGGGATGCAGTCATGGAGTCAATTGTCAACGAACGGAGTGGTTCTGTCTTGGGAAAAGGTTCTATACTTAAAATGTACTGTTTCCCTGGCCAAAGAACTTCAAGTCGTATGCAGATTAATGGTGCCCCTCACGTATACAAGGTATGCTTCAAAGAAATTTGATTCTTTTTACTATGATAACATCCTTCACGGTGACATTACCACCTAATATGTACCGGCAAAACATTCATTTCAGGTCGATAGATACCCTGTGTATAGCATGGCAACTCCCACAATTTCTGGAGCTAAAAAGATGCTCGCCTATTTAGGCACCAAACCACAGGAAGAAGGCAGAGATTCAACAGATAAAATAATAGTTACAGACTTAAGAGAAGAAGCAGTTGTTTACATCAATGGGACTCCATTTGTCTTGAGAGAACTGAGTAAACCTGTTGATACCCTCAAGCATGTGGGCATAACCGGTGCAGTGGTATGCCTCAAATCACACCTTAATTATAATGCAAGATGCAAATGCGATTTATTGATCAGTATCTTTAATGCAGGTAGAAAGCATAGAAACACGGTTAAAAGAAGATATACTGTCTGAGGTTAGGGAGACTGGGGGTCGAATGCTATTGCATCGTGAAGAATACAGCCCGGCATCAAATCAGTCTCGGGTTATAGGATATTGGGAGAATATTCAACCGGAAAATGTGAAGACACCTGCAGAAGTATATGCTGCACTGAAAAATGAAAACTACAACATATCGTACCGGAGAATACCATTAACCAGAGAAAGAGACGCATTAGCTTCCGACATAGACGCAATCCAGTATTGTAAAGACGAGTAAGTATCTATCATCTGTTTTTCCGTTTTATAGATTTACGAAATCTGTTCCGTTTTTAGCTTATGGGCTATGTTTTTCAACAGTTCTGCTGGGAGTTACTTGTTTGTATCGCACACGGGTTTTGGAGGAGTTTCTTATGCAATGGCCATTACTTGTCTCCTACTTCAACCTGGTCAGAACTTCACAGCTCAACCAAACACAAATTCTTCTACCTTAGAAGAAGATGATTCGCCTTCAGGGGCTTGTGATGAAGAAGCGTTGAATATGGGAGATTACCGTGACATACTGAGTCTCATAAGAGTGCTTTCTCATGGTCCTCAAAGCAAATCAGATGTAGATGGAATTATCGAACAGTATGTAAAACCGAATGAATCAAAATCTCTTTTGCCAATTTAACTAACTACATTGCTCATGACTTGATTCCTTTGTCTTTGCATTTTGTAGGTGTGCTGAAGCAGGACATTTGAGAGAAGACATCGTTTACCACACCAAAGAACTCAACAAGCTTCCCGCTAATGCAAAAGATGAAAACCGTTCATACATAGTGGACATGGGTGTTAAAGCCTTAAGGTTAGTTCCTTACCTCCAATCCGAAAAGCGAATCGAAGATTGAAATAAAACCGGTTTGGATTGAAATAAAACCGGTTTGGTTTCCATTTTGTTTCCATATTCAAAACAAATAATATTTGGTTTTTTGTATGAGCAGGCGCTACTTTTACCTGATAACATTCAGATCATACCTATACTGCACGTCGCCGGAAGAAATGAAATTTGTGGATTGGATGCAATCGCGACCGGAACTTGGACATCTCTGTCATAACCTCAGGATAGACAAGTGAGCTTAGTGTTTC